TGGACAGCACCTCACACGAGCGCATGTTCAGCAGGCAGGGCGTCTAACCCGAACATGGCACCGCCTTGTACGGGATATGCAAGCCATCGCCTATATCTTGCCCATCATTCGTCAAGCGAGCTTGTCGTTGCTCCTGCGATCTACAACTGGAATTGTGAAGATGCATGTTGGAAGCGGTTCACAAGGCATACTCGAAGGCATACTTGAAGGCATACACAGCCTCGTTCTTCTGTTTGCTGCTCTTTATGGTGAGCTGGATCCTGGTTCTATTCATACCATTTCCTCAATTTAAAATCTACGTCCTCAGCCTTGTCCCGGCCAAAATTGTCCACTGAACAGCATTATGGCTATTTCTTTCGGACACCACGGACCTGAGACTGACCCCATTGAGATTTCAGTCCCTGGAATCGCTGGAGCTCACGACCAAAAATTCGAATTCGACAGTTCCAGCGACATCCAAAGTGATCATGCTGCTCACGGAATAGGATCCTCAACCCAAAAATCATGGACAAACAGGGGCGTTCTCGATCATATATATCCTTGGATATTCCATTACGATTACCTAGACAGAGTATTGGAACGACATCATATCACAAGTACAGATCTTGGTAGCTCGTTAGAATGAAAGCGTTTACTGACCATCGCCCAGGTATTGCCATTTCGGGGACGATTGGTATCGGGCTGTTCGTCACTTCGGGAGAGCTAATAGCAATAGCAGGCTCTGGCGGCTGTGTGCTGGGCTTTGTTCTTGCAAGTTTTATTGTGGTGGGCGTGATGCGCTCACTCGCGGAGCTAGTGAGTGTGAGACCGCTCTCGGGAGCTTTAATAGATTATCCTCACACATTCGTAAGCTGTGAAGCTCTAATACTTGATTTTTATACGCCTGCTAAGGTCACAAAGGTTGATCCTGCCCTCGGCTTCGCGGTGGCCGTCACTTATTTTATCGCTCAATGCTTGAGTATGGCTGCTCTGACTTCGGCTGCTGCCCGAATCGCGGACAATTTTGGTCCAACAGGAAGCCCACCTCTCGATAAAGGGAAGAAAGTTGGCATTGTTGTTGGGCTTGTTGCACTCACCCTCTTATCCAACATCTGCGGGGTAAAGGTAGGCATATGGTTGCAACCACCAGCCCTGAGAATTCCGCTCACTTGTACAGACTTACGGGAGGCTCGAGCGGATTGTAAAATGGTTCAAAATTTTGCTTATGGTTAGCCTCTGCGTTTTGATGATTGTAGTAAACCTTGGAGGTACGGGTTTCCCTAAGAATACCTCGATCATTGACCAAACCGTTCCGAGCAGTCAGTGGAGCAAGGACCGGCTCTACTACTGGAAGTACGTAGACCAAATCTTCCCTTTGAGGTCACTAATTACTGACTTCCTTCATAGACTATAGTAGCGAAAATGCCTTCCCGCCGTACTTTAATCCAGCTGGTTTCGGCGGCGTGCTCCCCACCGATGTATCACCAGACGGTAAATCGTTAGGAATTCCTGGATCTACAGGTCGCTTTATGGCCGTGTGGTAAGCATTGACCTTCTAGCGAATGGTTACAAGGCATAATGGTTCCCAGGACTTCTGTTACGCTTGCTATGTTTGCGTGCATAGTAAATAGACCCAATCTCTGTTTTGCTGACAATCCTGACCGAGATCCAGGGCGGAGACATTGTCGTAGTCACGGCAGGTGAAGCTAGAAAGCCGCGAAAGGACCTTCCCCCTGCGACACGATATATGTATTGGGTGCCGCTGGGGCTCTATTTCCTTGCTTCTCTCATCGTAGGCTTCAACATTAACTTTAAAGACCCTAATCTTTTCCGAGCATACTCACTCAGCAATACAAACACTTCGCATTCGCCTTTCATAATTATTATAAAGACAACGACAATCAAAGTCCTGCCAGATTTCATGAACGCCTGCTTCCTCTTCTCTGGTTATTCCACAGCGTGAGCGAGTTCCGTCCCACACTTTCACACAGAACTAACGACATTTCCAAGAAATACCGAGCTGTTCGTGGCCAGCAGGACATTGTTCGCCCTCGCTCAGCAGTATGGGAACGATTTCATGCGGTCTACTCTCGGCAAGACGAACAACGGGCACACACCCATTGCAGCAATCCTTTTTTGTTCATCTTTTGGCCTCCTTGCTCTTCTTGGCCTTGCCGATCCTTCTTTCAACCAGCCAATCTTATCTCTTTCCGCCTTCTTCACTGGCGCAATTGGTTGCGTTTATGCTAGCGAATGTATAGCTTTTCTACGGTTCAAGGCCGGGTAAGTTGTTCTTTTGGACCTAGATATATTGTGGGCGATGACCAATACATATAGTCTTGATCTTCTCCATCGGCGGAATGTGTACTCGCGAGACCGTGACCCTTACATGAGCAAGCACTACCGCGCACATTGGCAACCTACCTGGGCCTACGTTGGACTCATCGGGTGCATACTCATAGTCTTATTTTCGGGATGGCCAGCGATCTATATTCTGCATTCAAGGCACAACTTGGTCGCTGATAAAGACCTTAAAACTAATGTCCAGCTTGCGGGAGACTTGATTGGAGCCTATGCCGGTGTATGCAGCCCCTTTCAAATTCAACTTATGCTGATATAGTAGCTGACTGGACTGCCAGCCTCTCCTTTTCTGTGCTCTCTACCTGGGATGGAAATTCTGGCATAGGACCCATATCCGGCCCATATCATCTCTCGGTGTGCAGCTTTATATTTTGCAGGAAAGGTTCCCGGGTGACGAAGAGACGGACGGTGTTCATAATGCACAAGACCGAGAAGGGCAAACGGAGCCTCGTAGAAATGGGGCTTTTGATAGCTCTACATATGGGCGGCCTCATGGCTCGCAAGAATCCTCGGTGCAGCGATTGAAACGTAGGGCCGTATTAGCCTGGAGCCTGAGTAAATAAGTACTAGACTCATGGTAATTCTCAGGTATATTTTATCAAGCGTACATATTAATACGTCACCACTATGCGTTGGCAGGTACCGTTTCCAATTGCGCAGTACGAGCCTGTGAAATGGGAGGTGGCGACTTTTATGACCTTTCATTTTCAGGTCCATCCATACTACGCCTCATCCCACGCAAGTTATCGAAATTATACATAGGACAGGGACTCTATGTTAGCAAAAATAATGGAGCATTTTTTTGCCGCTGTAGATGACAGTACGGTACCATCATATAACGGGAGCGCAGAATAGATTTCAGACTTTAACGCAAAAATCACAGTACGAAGAACCAACAAAACAACAATCCCGCTGCTTTTTCAGCTGCTTTGACCAAGACTCTACACGCACGCATGGAAAGGCGCTTTTACATGGCCCCTGAACTCCATTTCTAGTTCATCCTCGGCGGTTTCAGCCAGATGAAGGCCAGCCTTCCACTTCAGCTGCCACTTTTCTCCGTCCCTCTCCCCATTCAGCAAGGAGAATGGCTAATTATTCGTACCTTTGAACGCGGTATTACTGTCGAATTTGCGGCCCTCGACGGAGCGGTGAATGGTTTCGTTCGTACCGGTCGAGCTCATCGGCGTTCGGAATGAGCTCAGCAACGGTAGTCTCCGAGATGCTTGGTTGATAAGTTAATCCACGCCTCACTTTTCACTGTCGGTAACGCCCTTGGCGGTCTCCCATGGTTGGTCAACCGTCGGCAATGGAGGCAGAGGTAGGATCAGTAGTTAATCCTGGTCGAAGGTTAGGAGGTCATTCTCTTCGCATTGAGCCACCATCCATCCGAGAGTATTATCCGAGAGCCAGTGCTGCGTATACCCTCCGTCATGTCGGATTGCCTTCCAGAGAACCAGACCTGTTTCATCTCCTTCAGATGAAAGTTCGACCCATCTGATACAATGCCATTTGCAACTGCCGCAGCTTCCGGCATCTTCCAGAGCGTTGGCTGGAATGGATTCTATGTCTCGTCCAGTGCGATGGCATGGAAACCAAACTTTACTTTCGTCGAGAATTCTGCGTCCTGAAATTTGATCATATCCGGTGCGATCCCCAAAGACTCGCAATTCACGTCTTCGAGAACCAAGTTTAGTGGAACGCGACCGTATCTCAGACACAAATCGCCTACACACCTTGAGCTGCTGTTGGTTCCGGAAGTCCGTTCTCATGCAGATTTGGCAAGAACGCTGTTCTCTTAATAGTCCGGATTCCAGTGGTCTTTGTAATACAAGTCATACAATTTCGGAAAACTATGCATTCCTTTCTTCGTGAGCAATCCACACGCCGTAACGATTCCGGCAATAGTGTGGATGGTATATGCTCTACAGGAGAAGCCGACAAAGAATATCTCATCTCCGACATCGTAGTTGTTGGCAACGAATCCGTATGCGGCGCGGTTGTTTGTAGAGACACCAACCCGAAGTGCCTCAAACCAGTCTATCAAGACTGCGCGGTGTCATCCATAGACCGGCCATAGTCCATGCCGTAGGACAGGAGACGTCGACATGGAGACAAAGAACGAGTCTATGGGGGAGAACAGGAGAATAGGTGTAAAGAGCGCTGGAGTGCTCGGGTGTGCTGGCGGCACGAGTTGGGCTATTTAAGCATTTCTGTGCATTTAATAATTCGAGGATAAAAGGTCCCGGAGCGTCTGTTGTAGCACGGTGGCGTCTTCCCTAGCTGATATGCCTTGGGAGAGTTTTTGTAATGGCATATTCCACTGGGAAAGTCTCTACGATAATCACACCGATGAGCGCTATTGATGGTAAGTAATTGTCATGTTTGAGAACTTAGGAAGGATTTCACCTTTACCCTAGAAGGGCTTCCATGACGAATGAATGACTGGAAAGAAGTGTGACTATGAGCGGGTACTAGTCGAATGCGGCAGATCGAGATACCAGCCAGGAATTTAACGCTTCTAAATAGAAGAGCAAAAAACATGGTGCAATGTTATTCTTTATATGTTCTTTTATGTCAGAGGACAAAATAAAGATATCCTGCAGCTGGGATAAAACATTTAGCGGAGTGAGAAATGCCAGCAAAAAAAAGAGAAACTATCTTGCACTGTCCGGGAGTCGAACCCGAGCCCCTTGCTCACTCTATACCGAATATGGAAGGCAAGGATCCTACCGCTGGACCAACAGTGCTATTAATAACAATACGGCAATTTTGAATAAACTATAACTTACAAAAACTAGACAATAGCATAGACAGCCCAGGGGCAATTTGGAGAGTACCTCACCAATCGCGAAATGGGATCGAAGCACCAAAAAGGAACGCGCCCGAGACAAGCTCTCTTGTATACCTAAAATATAGCGTAGGCGTAAGGCTTCGAAGCCAACTACTATGTAGGCACTCATTGAACAATGCGCGCCTAAGACCTCTAGAGTTTCTCTTATCTTTGTCGTCTATATAATAAAAGTTAACATAAAGGTAGCCTGTTTTAGTATAGCTAGCCTCGCGGGGCGTGAAAAGGGTAAAAAAAACTAGACTACTCTCTTAGGCGCAAAATTATGTATAAAAAGCTGGAGCAGCGAACTTAGGTTATTATTGTACAGGCAAAATTACTTGGAGGTCTGAGGACTTCTAGAGGTCTTAGGAGAAGGTCAAGTAACGTAACCTATATTGACGTGGTTAGCTTTGTGGCTTCACGCCATACCACATTCTTGTTTGGTGTGCCACTCTTATCCCGCCCCGCGAACAAGCGTAAATGCTGTGGCCGGAAAAACTTGTGTTCCAGCTCCGAAATTTGTTGATACCTTAGACTTTCCACCCATGGTGAAACAACCTACCAAACGACCAAAACATTCCTTTGATACTTTTCTCAAACTAAGTCTTTTAGTTACATACCCATTGTTATACCCTTCGAAACCCTTTCTGCCGTGTGTCCTCGCGGCAATGACCCCATACGTGTCTTGAGCCCCCAATCACCTCCGCGATGGCTGCAGCGTCTCGACGAATATCAAGCTACACAACCCGATCTGCGGCAAACGATCGTGACGCAGTGGGGAGACCGAGTAGTAGTGATGATAGCAAGAACGAAATATGGACATCAATGCTGGAGGGCGTCTCCAGCGGGAAGAGGTTACCTGAGAAAAGTGTCCTGGTATTAGGTACTCGCATCTTCCAAGCGCTACATTGGGAACTGGTCAGTTTTAACGACATGGCTGTGTAGGTGGCACTCCAGAAACGCAGAAAAATTTCCTAGAATCCCTCTCCACAGATCCATCGAGCAACCGGAAACCCGCAGACCGCGGACGAAGCCCTCCAATAGCGAACCAATTCGCGCTGGGCTACACATATCAAGACGTGCTTGATTCGGACCATGAAGGTACTTTGACAGCATGCTACTGGTCCGTTAGTAACTTCAACTAAATCTCATTGCTTCGCAGACAAGCTCGCGCGCCTATCCTTATATCTCCTTACTACGCCTACTCCCGCTTTCACGCCTCTGTTAAAACCCTATCTCACTCCTCGAACACTACCAAACATGCTTATCGTCATTCTCCTTGATTGGTCACAGCCATGGCTATGGCTTCGCCAACTCTGCGAATGGATCCGCGTTCTGCGGTCACTCGTTTCTTCCCTGGACGATGAGTCCAAAGACGTCATGGAAGAAAATATCAATGCTTGGCGAGATCGAGGGCGTGGTGGAGGTGGATCTGACAATACTGGAAGTGGATCCTCGGAGAGCGTAGCGTTACCGCTTGGGCAGGGTGAATGGGATGAGCCACTTGGCATTCCTTTGTGTGTGGTATGCCAAAATGCAGATAAGATTGAGGTTCTGGAGCGAGAACGTGGGTGGAAAGAGGATGAGTTCGATTTCATAATGCAGTATCTGCGGACTGTTCTACTCAAGCATGGAGCCAGCCTGGTCTACACAATGCCCTCGGCCCCGGGCTCTCTACAAACGCTGATCCATTCGAGCTTGGGTATCAAGTCTATGCTGAAGCAGAAACAATTGAAACACAACGTTATCGATCGCGATCGAGTGCTTATACCACCAAATTGGGATTCTTGGGGCAAGATTCGTGTCATAAAGGAAGGATTCGATGTCGAGGGTGTTAGCCACGCGTGGTCCGAGGATATTCAGATTCCAACACACATGCAACAGCAGTCCCACTCCAATGATTCTTCCAATGGCCATGCCGCTGCGGATGACGTTACGCAACCGGATTCTAAGCCTGAATATGAACCAAAAAACGAACACACTGCAGTTTCCGTTTACGAAGAAACAATCCGAAATCCGGAGCGTGACTACGCCCTCTCTGCCCTGAACCCTAAGCACGCCAATGGAATTGAAGTACCGAACACTGATGCGCAAGCTTTCCTCGCATCTCAGGTCCAAATTCTAGATAGTCTACGCATAGAAGACGAGCGTGAGAAGAACGCCAAAGATAAGAAGAAGGGCAATGCTGTGTATATTTCACAAGACGACGCGAGTGGTGTTGTTGAGGAGCATATCGGTCCGGTGCAGTTCAACATGGGAGGCATTCAGGTTAACGCTGATGAGATGGTGAAGAGGCTGCAGGTAATTTATACATTTCCATACAAACAGTACTTTACATAGTCTACTTCTCAGTTCTCTCTCGTTTCTTAAATTGCGATGCAGTTCTCCTTAGTCATTGTAGTTTCAAGCTAACATTCGTGCCATAGGATCGCGAAGCAAACCGCTCCGCCGATATCGAAACTGGACCATCCACACCGACTCCTACGGACTCAAAAATTGAGAACGAGCGGCTAGCAACATTTTTCGCTGGGCTGATGAACAAGAAAGGAGAGAATCCGGCAGCAAGCAGCCCAAGGCCGTCATCGTAATGTCAGCTTTTGTTGTCCCAAGAGCCACTTGGCAACTTATCGTGATCGAGTTGGTCATCTTAGTGCTGGTACACTCTCGTGTGGCATTATACTCAAAGGCAGTCCTACCTACTCCTATTCCCATCTAGCCTAACCGTCGCGCAAATACCCATAATCCGAAAACATCTCTCAGATTCTAGTTGTGGTGTGCTACATCCATAAACTCGTCCTTTAATTTTGGACGTCGATGGTTGAATGTACAATGGTTCCATTGAAAGATTTCTATAGCTCGACCTATCTCAACAGCTTCCGGCGTCACGCCTGTTGACTTCAAATTGCTACCATGACCACGTTCCCCCATAAATCGCGACCACTTGTGGTTCCTGCTCATGAGAAGGTTGAGTGGCATGAAACGGTATCGGGAGTGAAGAGACTGGGGGTTTGATTGTGCGGGGAACTGGGGTGAAGGGTGGTGGAAAGGTGGAATCGCAACGTAGAGAACCACCCAAGCCGGGAAAGGAGCGGTGAAATACCTACTGGGTAGGTAGTGCTGGCGGTGTACCTGACTCGTAACCATGAACAGCCACTATCAGCATCTACAATGGGCAATTTCTACAGCAAAGTGCAGTAACCTCGAATACCTAACATTCTCTAAAGAAATTGATTTCCACAACGCAAACAAATCAACCCCAAATCATTTCCTAATCTCCTTTTTTTGCCCATCCCCCTGCCCATAGTCATAACAACCACATTCCAAGGCTCCATTAATCTAGCAATGACACTCCCCAAATCCAGCTCAATTTACACTAGAAACTCATGATCTGGTCATTCCACTCCGGGAGCTGCCAGGCCTTTCCCGGACACTTTAGAGTCAGTGGCAAATTATCAGACATGGTGCACAGTTTGCCCATGTTGTGAATTGCAAAGGTTAGGTTTTGGAATAGTTCAAGTCGTGGCGGAGGTCTGCATTCGCAATAGTAAGGGGTAGATTTTATTATGGACGTACAGAAAGCAGTTGTAGTCGTGTAGTGGACAGAGTTCTCGTCCTACTGGTATTCGGAAATGCTACGATACCATCGGAGTTATGACAAGAAGTAAAACAGCGGAGCAGATGGACTGGTAAATAAGAAAGAACTAAACGAAGATGCGACAATCAACCCTTAGGCGGGCATAAGTCTAGTATATCGGGAAGATGACAACATAAACGTCTGTGCCCAGCATCCCATTGTACGTATCCCGTCTCAGCAGGTTACGCTTTAGGTGCGGGGCAACCAGTGTTTACGCAACGATAGTCGTCGTTTACACGTGTAGCTAGAGTAGAGCTCTGCTGAGAGTAGACCACAAACTTGGCAGAGTCGCTTTGGCAAGAGGAAGAACCCGTAGTCTTCGGCTTATTCTTCTTCCTCTATTCGAGAAACCAACGCCGCGGCGCTCAAACATAAGGAGTGCTGGTGATGGTACTATATTCGGAACTTGCTGAACTCGCCATGTTCATACTCGTCGATGCCATGATGTTGGCATTCGCGGAGGTAAGCGTAGGCGCTCCGGTGAGCAGCGACGAAGGGAATGTTGCCTTGGCCGTTGCCAGCATTGACAGAGCATTCATTGCTTCGACTGCATTGAACTGAGTCGGCTCATTCCACTCCATTTGGTCAATGGAGGCGGGCCTATAGGTAATGGATAGGATGTGATTTGAAGAGGAATGCCCAAATCTAACAGAAAATTGGGGTTTATACCGTAGCATATGACTCAAAGCTAAAAGAGATGGACGGAGAGAAGGTGTCATTCTATGGCTACACGAATTGCACTATTTTCAAAGGTTTGAGGAGTGATTTTGACTCCTAAGATCTGGATAAAAACATGACAGAATAAATGATGTGCCAGCCAAATATACTCTACGCAATACCCCATCTAGTGAAATGGGTACAGAATGCTGCGATACTAACGCCGGTTCAAAATGTGCCCGGGAACTCCAGAAATGTCACGCAGCATAAATACGTCGGGATACATGATCGATAAATACCCTACTCCATATACTTCCTCCAGCCTTCCCGAAAGCATACTCTCTTGCCGTCTTGGGACATACCTACCAAAAATTTCTCCCATCGAGCATCCTGGCCGGCACAAATGACCAGGAGGCTTTCATCGTCGAGCCAGCCGATTAGGCCTTTTGGTGGTCTCCCGCCAGGTACTCCCGGGATGGGTGCACTCCAGGTTGGCGATTTGCTGGCGCCGCGGCCGCTGGTGTTCCAGCCGAGAGGTTCCTCTCCAATTTCAAAATGGGCAGAGGCAAAAGAGTAGGTATCGGAGAAGGTTCGTGGGAGTAGCGGGATTTTGGCGAGCATTCCCC